TCATCAACCTTTACTGATCTACTGTTGGATGAAAGCCTCTCTAAGTCTTAGCGACAGACCTCCATTTTTTGCCATTTTCATCCACCTTGGTCCAGCGAACATCTTCAGTTCATCCTACTATCTCCCTACAGGCCGTTTGCGCTTTCTTGGAACCCAGAATGATGTATCTCTGGTTCTGTGACGGTCAGTTCTGCTTGTAACTAATCCTATCCATGGCCACTTTGACTTCTTCGCACGGGGAATGACATGGCAGATTTTGATATATGCTTTTATTCAGTCATTCGTCTTCCTATCTTCTCTTGCTATTCCAAAAATGCATTTTTCCATGCAGCGTTGCGTAGTCTACAATTTACGAATAGCTAGCAGGCGTGAAGTTCGCATCCACAGGTTAATACTAGGAGCACACATTGATAAAACACTTTCCGTTTTAAGAACAAGGGCAATTTTCTGATTATGAATATTTTTAGTCTTTGAAATGCGTTCCATGCCAGTTTTACCTTTCAGCTGATTTCATCATTGTCGACGGTCTCCGTTTTAAACGAGCTATCCAAGATAAACGTAGTTTTGCAGTTTTCAAGCCTAAGTCCGTTGATTTCAAAAGACAGCGGGATCATGTATCAACATGACGTGCGTCTTCTTCGGGCTCATTTTCAGCACGACTTTAATGTTGGCGTCGTTCAGCTCTTGGATTATCTCTTGGAGTTCTTCTTGCGAGTCCCATGACAGTTCGTCCGCAAACAGCAGATGGCTTATACAGCACCAATTTATGCTCAGCTCCTAATTTTCTGGTGAAAACCTTCTCCAGAGCTGCTGACAGTAGCTTCAGTGATACTGCGTCTACCTACTGGATACCACTTTCGACAGTGAATTTGCTTCTGCCTTCGCGAAGCTTCACGCTAGCAACTGCATTCTTGCAAATCACAACGAATGGGTTTCTGCATCTTTTCTCGATTTTTTCGTTCCTCAATGGAACCTAGTACAAAACGAATGTAACTGAGTCGAAGATTTCTTGAAATGGACGAACCTCAGGTAGAGACGAAGCTGACATTTGCTGCCAGAAGGAGTTACTTTCGATACCACCTGGAGATGATCCATCGTATTAAATTGACTTTTGAACCCTGTCAGCCTTGTGGGCAGCAGTTTAGCTTGAAGCCTTCTAGTCAGTACCTTCGTAAACATCTTATAGGTGATTGACAATAAACTTATGGGCCTACAGTTCTCAAAATTTTCTGTACCCCTTTCTGTGTAGTAGAATCGCCAATGCGACTATCCAATGTCTAAAACTGTAAGTTTCTTCAGAGTGTGAAAACAAGCTCGCTAATATCTTGGTCAGTGCTTAAATTCTTGATTTCAGCTATTCCACTGTAATGCCGTCCGTCGCAAGAACCCTTCCTTGTTTCGACTGTTCAACTGCATGTCACACCACTGACAAGATATCTGAAATTTCGCCAACTAGAACTGACTCATCGTTTTTATGTTTCTTATTGTCCCTTTGGGTATTCCTGCTTTCATCTTTGTCCAGTTTTTTTACAAAAATGTTATACTTCCTGTCCATCATTGACAGCAATCCTGTCATTTGATTTGAAAGATAAAACTTGTCGATATAATTTCTTCACTATTCGGTTGCTTTCAAAAGCTTCTTTGCCAATCTCCAGTTATACGCCCTGACGTCTTCCTTTATTCGTTTTCTTAAAGTTTTGCAAAATTTTACATAATCGATGATAGATTTATGATCTGTTGTTGCCTTTGTTTTTCCACGAGTTCTATCGTTTGTTTCGTGAATTTTCGTAAACTTCATAATTCTTGTTCCGGAGATGTCTTTCGTCCCTTCTTTAGTTGCCTCAGTTATATCCTTATACACTTTGGTGATGTCCACTGCTTGTTCTGGTTCTTCTTACATTTAGTGAAGGACGATGACTCTTATTTAATTTGTGTTAAAACAGCGGGAAATCTCTTCCTTAGTGTTTTCACATCCAGTATCTGGAGTCTCCTTTTCAGTCATTACCTTTCCAAAGATGGGTCTAGGCAACTCTGCGTGACGGGCCGGTGATCACTTCATGCATTAAACCTGTTCATCACCGCAAAGTCCTGTATTGTATTCTTAAGGTTACCGAGAATGAAATCAATTTCTTGCCATTTTGGTCACTCCACATTCAATTTTTTCTGAAAAAATGTATTCACAAGCGACATTAAGAAGCATGACACAGCATATCGAAAATAGCTGAAGGCTGAATTCCTACAAGAGCGGAAAAGCTAGAAGACAAAACAAGGTATACTACAAAAACAGAGGAAATAAAGCTGAAGATAGGCAAAATCATTGCCATGTCACAACCTATGTATGAATCTGAAAATGAATGGAAGAAAGCGACAATTCTATAGCAAAGCGAACGTCAGAGAGACGAAGAAGAAACATCAGACTAAGTAAAGGTAAAGGACGAAAAACGCAAGCTGACAGAAAATAAACTGACCAAAATTTGCAACCGATAAGTTAAAAGCTATCAAATGAAACGAAAGACAATTCAAAAGAATCTCATCCAATGAGGTGGAAACAGCCGGCGTAGAATTCACGACAAAATTGCCTTGCGCTTAGGCAGAGTTTACTGAAGCAAGGAAGGCAGCAGGTCTTGCACCATTATTCCATGCAGTAATATTCTTGTACATCACTTGCTTTAAGCATTCTATGTTGTTCAAAGTAAAAGTATAGCACACTGTCACATTTTTAAGACCAGCCAACAAATAAACTGGCATCGAAGTCCAAGATACAGTTAGCAGGTGCTGCGTCAGAGAAAATGGCGTTAACTTGAAGCCCTTCAACGTTAGCACTGGTCTCCGCCAAAGTTGCGCACCGTCCTCTCCTGTTTGCGTTGCACATGAATGGAATAGTCAGGAGCAGTGTATCTGTGTAGGACATGTGGAGACGAGAAGGTGTAGTTGGCAGACGACCTTGTTTAAGTGGCATCTTCTGTTCTATCGTGCTCCAAAGAAAAGTTCGCATACGAATGCGACGTGACCGGCATGCGTGTGAACACATCTAAATCGAAAAGCTAGTCCATTCTCGTTCTCCTGCCCGTTGCTCTGTTCAGATTAAAGGAGAGGTAGTGGAGCAGGTAGAGAAGTTGAAGTACTTCGCAGTCATATTTACTAGTGATGGAAAATTTGAAGAAGAGATCAACCGGCGAAATGGAATAGTCAGTGGCGTTCTGCGTGAAGTAGCCGAAACTACTGTGACTAAAGCAGAGCTGAGTCGGAAAACTACGCTCTCGGTGTTCAAGTCGATCTTTATCCCCATGCTTACATACGGCCATGAGTCGTGGACCATGACTGAAAAGCTTCGAATTCGATTACAAGCCGCTGAAATGGGCTCTCTGCACTTACGCGTCTCGATTTGGTCTGGAATACAGACATCCGCGAGAGCCTTGGTATACAGCGCTGGTTCTTCAGATTGAAAGGTCACCGCTGTGATGGTTTGGGCACGTGTTGCAAATGCCTCCAGAACTGAGGGCTAAGAGACTATTTCTTGCCCATCCGACCGGCAGAAGACCCAGAGGACATCCAAGATTAACCTGGTGCAAATATACGGAAGGAGTCTGTTCTAGACTCCAGGTGACTTCTGGCAAAGCATAGACTATGGCACAGGATCGGGAAGTTGAAGCTGTGGCTGACGCATCTGCCTCCGCGACACGAATGCAGAAAGGATCATGGAAAATGAAGGAAGGCAGCAGGAGAAGATATCATTGGGTTCTACTCACTATTTAAAGGAACTGCAGAGTTTGAAGTCAATTTCGAGATCTGATGTCGAGAATATGGAAGGGGAATTTTAATACCAATATACAAAATGAAAGGGGTCATACAGAACCATGAAAACAATCAGGAATTAAGCTGTTCAGGCATATCATGAAATTGAATGAAAGGATGCTAGACAAAAGGTTCATGAATGAAATCGAAATAACCGCAAACCAGATTCACTCTATGGATAGTTTGACAATAGCGGACGTTATCTTTGTACTATGATCAGTTCTCGAAACAAAGAAAATGCAGTGGAAACATTCACATGGTGTTCCCAAACTTAAAAAACCCATGACAGAACAAAATGACAAACATGACGAAAATAAAAAAGAAACGAGCGCTCACAATATATTGATAGCTTGTAGACTACATATACAATTGGAAAACGACTAGTTGTAGAAATATACACTGATAGTTAAAAATAAGTATAATCGCTCAAACGGAAAAATCCTTTGTTCGATAGGGAGTCAATCAACAATAAACAGTCTGGTTCTGTTTTCGAATATGACATACGCGTACTAATTACCTGTTGGTACCAGTCTTACTCTACACTCCCTCTGTGCAGACACTGAGTGCTAGAAATACTGTGCAGCCAAAGCAGAGGAAGTGCAGAAACAAGGCCTAAATGTGGAAAGCAGTTTACCAAATATGGGTTTCGTCTAAATCAGAACTAGACGAACCAGAATGCATGGCTAGCTGTTTCATAGAGGAGCAAAGAAAAATGAGCCCATAAAAATGGTCGCCTCCTATAACTGCAGCAATCGAGTATCTTAGTTCCATTTTAGAGGACAGCTAAAAAATCGACAGGAACTCAACAAGCTGGTCGAAAAGGGGGTTTCAATGGAAAAAAGTTAACTAATTCTACGCGACAAGAGTAGGTTCACCAAGCAAAGGGGGACGAGTTGCAGAACAGTGCTAAAACTATTGTTATACGGCGTCGAGTGTTTGGCCATTTTGACAGTACATAAATAACAGCTTAACTCCGTATAAATGTGAAAGCTCTGATAAGTCGTGGCTCAAAAGGAACTACCACATTCGAAACTGCATAAAGGTATGTCATAGAAAGGTCTAACATCAATGAAGCCTACGGTGGCAAGTTTCATAAGGGTGTGAATGTCATAAGAAAGAGGCCAAAATAACATAGGCAATGCGGTTGAGACAATATCACGGGGATGAACGGTTAAGTCGAAAATAAAGCGATTATAAAGAACGACATTAAGCAATCAAATGACCGAAGAATATACGATGATCAGAGAATACAAAAAGAACTGGTTCATACGACGAATCTCTTCTAAGGAATAGGTTGGAGAGAAACAAAATAACACAAATGGTATTTGCCAACAGAGTAAGCAAATAAGAGAGAACACTAAATATTCTGATGGTTAAGAAGCAGACAGCTTTTATGCTGGAAGCCGAAAAGGTGGAATAAAGTAGAAAATCTGCACCGCGCCTAAGGTTACTGTTCCATAGAAAAAGTGGACAACTTAAAATAACACTATCTGCGAATTTCCTTTAAGCTTTTCTTCACTTCGTAAAACGACACAAACTTTCACTGATTTTGTATGGGTAAAAATTTACAGCCGCAAATCAGTTCGAGCACTTCATTTTCGGCAAAGTTTCAAACTATTAAAAGGCGCAGCTTATAATATATAGCAGTGTAGTAATTCCAAGTAAAGGCGGGAATATACTTACAGAAAATTTCTCTGGTACTAAAAAGTAGTAGAACGGCTTTTACATACAAAAATACAGCTCAAATCTGAAATGGAGCAGCGCAGTGTTTAAATAAGCAGAAGGATGATGCAGTTCATTGGTCGAAAGTTATTGGGCAATAGTTTAGCCTCGACGCTTCTAGCAACTACAAGGCTCTAAACGAGAACCTGTTGCACAATGATGTCAGCTGCAACCGCTGAGAAGCCAAAAGTGCGTGACAGAGAGCAAACAAAATTCGAGACGCTCCACATTCAAAAAAGTTGTGCCGCATGCCTTGCAACGAAAAGTTCCGTGCACATGTTCGTTTACAAAAAAAACTGAAAAATGAACCGTCTAACAGGGCCTGCGAATCGCGTCACTATCAACTTTACTTAGGTACTCAGCTGTAACGTTTCCTTCAATCAAATAAAAGAACGAGCAGTGGGAATTGAAGATCAGACTAGTTCAAAAGTTGGTCATACCATCTTCATCCATATCAACTGGGTCGGGTCTAGCAGGCTTAGTTTCAGGACAGGGGTCGATTTCACCAGGTTTCAACTTTCTGGGATCATCGCCAGGTTCAAGTTCAATCTCTGTCTTTTTCTGCGCTTGGTCTCTAAAGTGCAAAAATTGTTTGTCAACAAATTCATAGAGCAAAAACTATCCAAAAATTTCTCACAGCAAATATTCGTATCTTTCCAGACACTGAGAAGCAGTACGTCCAACAATGGGGGCAATGGTTCTCCACTGCGTTGGCATTAACTTCGCAAGATGCAGTAGTTTCTCATCTTCCTCTCTCGACCATTCTGTTTTTTTAATACTTGGATCCAACCATTCATACCTGAATAAAGCTGAATGAAAAAGCATAAAATTTGGTCACACAAGGCATACCATCGTGATTTGCATTGCTTCGCTGACTTTCGGTGAAGCAGTGAGGCGATACGACTCCACTGATTTTTGCCATATTTCATAACAGCCGCTTTCAAGATCTCATCCTTAAATATGCATTTAACAATGACAGGGTCAGAAAGTTTAGTGTTACCTCCGTATTTCGCCAGACACCTCCTTTTATAATGACACGAACCATACTGACTGTCTACAGCTGTTTCAGTGGAGGCACAGGGTCTTAAAAGAGCCTTAAAACAGAATTTTAATAAAACGTTTAATGAAGAGAAAATAAAATTCCTTTTCGCAGTCAAAATTAATCCAAAGTTATATGCAACGTTAAACTCGAATTATTTCGTAGTACGTTCGTTTATAATTATGAAATCTGATGATTTTCCCAAATTTTCGTTACACACATTTTAGATAGAAGGCGCAGTTCAAGATATCCAGCTAGATGTTCTGCTGGCCCGAAATAAGCTGATTATGTCTCGGTAAGTAATTCCAGGAACCGGCTCTGTCATCCGACAGCTTCCTCATACATCACATCAAATCCGGCCTCGTCCTTAATGCCTGGAAATCAAAAGTCATGAAGCACCTATTTGCCTAATACCAGCATTTTACGCAGACCTGATAGAAGGTAAAGTTTTTATCAGATATGTGGTGGACGGAAGGAAAGCGACGCTGTTCATCCGGATTCTGCTCTAGATGTAATACGAAACCATTCTAACATTGCTTAGACGATTAAAACCGCTAGCATAGTCAGAAAATACCCGATTTTGAATGAATTTTTCGAATTCCTTTTCTTTAAGACAGAAAGTCTGGGTTCGATGAACGAAGGAGAAAATTTTACACAAATAGATTTCGAAGCTATGTAAAATATAACAGGTCGCTCAACAAGATTCAAAATGTGAATACGCCTTTTAGGCAAAACTCAAGAACAAAAAACAATGCTCAGAATACGAAACACATAGGTGCGAAAAAGGCCGTCATCAAACAAAACTTAAATATCGTCTTTCTAGACCCGTTTCATTACCGATCTCAGGAACATAATCAAGAGTGTGTAGTTGTTACCGATGTTGGCATACAAACGCCTCGACCGCTAATTAATAGTTTACCATCACTATTTTAGTTTAGGATGTTCTGAGGAATTGAGCCACAAAGCAAAACTCGTAACACAATGCGAGAATACGATGAGTGAAATGCCCAAATAGCACTGCGCAACTAATATACGTGAAAAACCTTCTGAAGAAATTGACACCTAAACTTTTATTCTACATAGAGCTGATCTGTAACAAGGAAATCAAAAGTAAATTAGCACTTTCGCAAGATATATATCCAAACATTAATACAAGAGACGAATTACAGTACCGCAAACTCTATTTTACCTGAGAAACTTATTACTGTATCTAACACCCTTACATAACCTACTTCAAAACTGATCCGCGATGCCAAGATCTGATTCAAAGGTCTCTTTAACATGTGGGTGCAGTAAGACAACCTCATGACGTTTGTATAAATTTTTGAAATGGGTTACGATTATTACATAGGCAAATTTCGAAAAATACATCTAGAATATATCACCCAATGTCATGTATTTAACAAAAACTTAACACGTAATTAAAGCAATCGTTTGCCATTCCCATGATAAAAAATATCGACAATTCAGTTCGTTTTTTATTATTTCCTGCAATGCCATTGCCGAAAAACGTTTTTCATTCAGAGTAAACATCTGGTAAATTTGATGCTAATTTAAAGGTTCAAAAATACTCGGTTTAGATAAGCATTTTCTATTTATTGCCTAAACAACATTTAACTGAGCACGGTGCTGGTGTCGTTTGTCATTTCTGTTTGAGGTTCACGGCTTAACACTTGCGTTTCCCATCGATTAATTATGTCTGACTCACTGAACGTGATTAAGAAAATGCTTTGAGAAGTAGGTTCCCTGATGAACACCATGCTTTTTGACGAA